AAGGGATTGTAACCATGGCAATGAAACGATACATGATAGGATGAATGTAAAACTAATGTTATCCCATGTAAACTATCACATAATTCTCAATAAAACATTTTTTAAAAAAAGATCAGATGAAGTGACGAGACCTGCAAACAGAGATGGAGAAACAGAAATGCCTCACGGAGATCATTGAGGAATTGAGCAACCAAAGCTGAAAGGAGATAAGGACAAACCCCCAGAGCCAACAGAGAAAGCCGCCCCTACAGGTGGTAGACTGCTACCCTAAATTGTGAGAAAACAAATTTCTGTTCAACAATGCCACCCCCTTTTGGTGTTTCTGTTACAGTAGCAATAGGTAACTGAGACAGATGTATTCACAGGTGTTTAGTTAGGACACAATTCAGTCCCTCACAGGATGTAGCCAGTGCTTGCTGAGAAGCTACGGATGGGCTGGTGGGAGGAGAGACCGCATACCGGGAATTTCCAATTCCACAGCCAACATGTTTCTTTTCAGGTCTTTGCACGGAAGAACCATTCTCCACACTACATATGACGTTTGACCCAAAGAAAATGAAATTATCCTGGGATTGCAGAGAAAATGTTACGGTCATCGAATGTGCAATGATTCGCAAAGTCAACGATAAAATTAGTATAGAGGTGAGATGGGCCGTGTGTTCATGAGGGGTCCATTGTGGAGTGCTGGACGGGACAGTGGGCACGAGCGGTGCACAGGCCACAGGGATGGTGATGCCCAGAGAGTACTCACTGTATAGGAGAGGGCATGGGGTGGTGTTCCCAAAGGTGTCCCTCGAGGAGAGACCCCAAAGATCTTATATCCTAAGGCAGAGGCCATCTGGAGGCAGATGTGCGTGGTGTGTGGACAAAGGAGGTCTCTGTGTGACGAGAGTGTAAGGTTGTCAGGGATTGCCTACGCCAGGGCTCAGTGTCAGGGGAGAGGAGAAAGATGGGTCGGAGGTATGGGTACGGCAGAGTCACAGAGAGAAAGGGAGAAAGAGGGAGAGAAACACAGAGACAGGGAGAGACAATCAGAGGGAGAGAAAGAACACAGAGAGAAACAGAGAAAGAAACCCAGAGGGAAAGACAAAGAGACAGAGAGAGAGACACAAAGAGACAGAGAGGTGGAGAGACAATGAACGAGACATACAGTGAGAGACACAACGAGACAGAGAGCTAGAGAGACAGAGAGATACAGGCAGGCAGAGATGGTTACAGACAGACGCACAGAAAGGCGGAGACAGACAGACAGAGACAGGCACAGAAGGAGACATAAACAGGAGGAGGTGGAACAGGAGATGGACGGGAAGCAGAAGAAAGAAAGGAGAGAGAAACAGAAAGACAGACACAGTTCTGTGAGTCAAAGGCGCTGGTTCAGAAAAGGCTCAGTGGTGAGGGGGAACCCCCACAATGGGCAGAGCGAGGGCCCCAGGCATTCGAGGCAAGGTCATCCAGGGGCAGCGTGTGGACATGCCAGGTAGACACCCAAATGCACCAGGAGTTTCCAGCTGGGCTCTCACAGGGAGACCCATCCACATGCAGACTCAGAAGATGATGGTTGGAGATGCATAGCTTGTTCTGTGACCCCTAGGTGTGGCTGAGGGAGACCCACCACCCAAAGCCATGACAGGTATTTACCTGAGAGGCTCCCCCACACCTGTGGACAGTGCACTCAATCCTGAGAATCAAAAAGTACTACCCTGCCTTCCAGTAGAGACAAAATACAGAGCTCGACCAACAGACCCACAAACTTTCCTATAAAACCAATGTTCCCTGAGTGGGAGGGCAGTGAGTATTCAATACCAACTGACGTGGACTTCACCCCAACTCACAGCACACCCATGGGTGTCACAATAACTGTGTTCCACTGGGTGTTCAGTGACCGATCTTTCAGAAGATCACCAGGCATTTCTTCCTTCGCACCTCTGGGTACATGCCATTGAGAACGCTGTGGAGCACAGTTCTACTCTGTCACACACGGGGTCACTGAAAGTCAGCATTGACTCAATGCTAAGTGGTTTGGAGACCACAGTTGGTTCACAAGGTGAACGCACTTGGCTGCTCACCAAAAGACTGTGGGTTCAAGTCCACCAAGAGACGCATCAGCTTAGGTTGCACCTGGGAGGAGGTGTGTGGGGGTGATTTATAGAGCGATGGGGAACTTGTGCCATGAGATATGTGTGAGACCATCAAGACTAGAATATGATGAGTGAACGTGGGTGGGTGGTGGGGAAGAAAATACAGAAAGATGGAGTTAGTGTAAGACACAGGGAGGGATGCAAGAGTTATAGATGGAGTTAGTGTAAGACACAGAGAGGGATGCTAGAGTTATAGATGGACTTAGTGTACGACACAGAGAGGGATGCTAGAATTATAGATGGACTTAGTGTAAGACACAGAGAGGGATGCTAGAGTTATAGATGGAGTTAATGTAAGACACAGAGAGGGATGCTAGAGTTAGAGATGGAGTTATTGGAAGACACTGAGAGGGATACTAGAGTTATAGATGGACTTAGTGTACGACACAGAGAGGGATGCTAGAGTTAAAGAAATACATGGAGGGGGCCGCTGTCATTGAAATAAGATCACATTGTAGTCCGTTGAATGTAAAACTGAGGTATCTGCTCAGTAAACTTTGGCTCAATTCATAATGAAAAGTTATTTTAAAGAGAAGATCAGAGCATGATGATCTGTTTGGTAACCTTTCCAGCTTCTGGAGAATCAATGCGAATGCAACTTTACGGATTACACTTTGCACCTGGGAGCCGTGTTTGTCGTCAAAGTGAACATCAACCAGACATTGTGCCAAGAGCAGCTGTTTTTCAGTAACTCAGGTAAGGAACTTGGGGCCTCAGCCACCTTCCATCCCAGCAGCGTTAGAGTGGATGCTTTTCTTTTCTTTGTTTAATAAAATTTTTATTGTGGATTGAGTGAAAGTTTACAGGGCAGATCATCAGTTTTACATTCAACAAATCAGACACCTTGTTTCATTACAATGATTATAATCCCCTCCATGTACCATCAGTTAACAGTATTTCTCTCTATTCACTTTAGCTCTTTTGTTTTTATTTTTAAACACTCAGGCATATATAATAACTTGCAACATCAAAGGGTACCTTCTGCAAGTCTGCCTCCTGGCCACCAGCTCTTGGTCCCTCAAATCCCATGAGTCTAGAGTCCTCCGCTGTTCCCTGTCTCCATGTCCCCATCTCTGCTTCCATCTCTGGTGTCGCTGTTTCTCTGGATAAGGATCTCACACTCAACTTGTGCTCTTCTCCCTTGATGGTCCTAGAGGCCTCTGTTCTTGGAATGTAAGATTAACTACTCCCCCCTTTATGTTACAAAACTTTTACCTTTACAATTGTGAGAGTCACAATTCAGACTCATTTCTTTTCATTTTAAATTATTTATTGTTGCTGTCTGTTACTTGCCATCGAGAGTCGGTACTGACATAATGACCGTATTATGCACAACAGAATGAAACACTGCCTGGTCCTGCACCAACCTCATAACCATTAAGTTTCGGCCCATTGCTGCTGCCTCTGTGCCAATCCATCTCATTGGGGGCGGGGGTCTCCCTCTTTTTCGCTGACCCTCCACTTTACCAATCACAATGTCCTTCTCTAGGGACTGGTCCCTCCTGACAACATGTCCAAAGTATGTGAGATGAACTCTTCTCACCATTTCAAAAACAGTTAAGTGCAAAATGCAATAACTTTGATTATATTAAGCAAGGTTTTGGTGATCTAATTCTAAAAACCAGCCACTAAGAAAGCTACTCTGGTAGCGTAGTGGTTACGAAGTGGGCTGCGAACCTCAGAGTCAGCAGTTCGAAACTACCAGCTGTTCTGCAGGAGAAAGATGAGGCTTTCTGTTCCTGTAAAGATTTACAGTCTCGGAAACCCTGTACAGGGTCGCTATGCATCAGAACTGACTCCACAGCACATAACAACAACAAGAAAGCTACGCAACATTTTATTGGTTAGAATGCGTGGACTGTGCATCATTTAGAATCACATAGCGAGAATCATTTAGAACTTGAAGAACATGGTCAACGTGATGAAAACCTCCACGTAGAAAGGTATAGAAAAGACTGAGGGTTAGTAAAAGTCTGTGGGAAAATCCAGTTATCTTTTGATTCCTTTTTCCCACTGACTTTTTGAAGCTCCATGGTATATTCTGTGGTGTGTGTGCGAATCATTGCGACTCATTTGATGGTGATTTACGGGTTGTCCTGGTGTGGCGCTGTAGGATCAACACTGGGCTGTTAATCACAAGATCAGCAGTTCAAACCCACCAGCCGATCCTCACAATCAATATACAGGGTCAATATGAGTCAGAACCCACTTGACAGCGTGTAACGACAACAACTTATAACTATCAAGTTGATTCCGACCCATAACCCATAACAACCCTGTGTGGGGTTTCCGAGGCTGTAAATTCCGACAGTACACAACCTCATCTCTATCCCAAGGAGCAGCTGGTGGCTTTAAACCACTAGCATTTGCATCAGTAGTGAAACGCTTAACCCACAGTGGCACCAGGCAACCAAAAAGCCCATGTGACTCGCTTTACTGAGGTATTCGATTTCTTTCGGTGGTCTTCATTTGAACCTGCTGTATCTTTAACGTATGGCTGTCTGAACAAACACACAGAGACACACTCCCCAGCGGAGCGCAGGGACGGTGGTTCTAGAACCAATCTCGTGCATAAAACAGAACGAGGTCTCAGGTCTTCGTGTCATGCATCACCAACCACGTTCACCACCAACACGCTTCCTTCCCAAACTGTTTCCATCGTCCTTGATGAGACCCCAGGACCTCCTTAAGCAAATGTTTCTTCTTTCCTCTTCTCCCCAGCCCTGTCCCCCTCGGAACCTCTTGCAAACGCGAGTGTCTCTGTATTTCTTACCCCAGGAAGTGTACCTCACAGAAACCTTCACATCTTTAGACACCAATCCATCACAACTTTTCTGACCTTTTCCAGGTGGGAATGGAACAGCTGCAGAGAATTTCAGCTGCTTCATCATGGACAGCGATTTCATGAACTGCTCGTGGACAAGGGGCAGGGAGGCCCCGGACGACGTCCAATACTTCTTCTACATCCGAGACGTAAAGTACGTGTTAGCCTCGCACAGAAAACCCAGGGATGCACGGTAATGACAAACACCCTAACGGTTCTTGGTTGGTAACCCTTGGATTCTTACAGGGGAGAGGTGGAACGAGAATGCCCACACTACATAAAGGATTCCGGAACTCACGTTGGATGTTACGTCGAGGATCTTACTGGAATACCATTTGACATTTACTTCCTGGTCAACGGAACCAGCCAAGCAGTGGGAATCCCGTTCTTTGACAAGATTTCATCACAGTTTGAAATGAGTGAGAACCAAGACCGGTGATTTTATCATTGTGGGCACATTATCACAGAGTGTCCCTGGGCAATGCAAACCATGGGTGCACTCTGCCTTTTGCAGGAAGGTTCCAGAGGAGCCTTGGAAGAAAGGCCTGGTAACTTGCTTCCCTAGAAAACAGGCACTGGAAACTCGTAGAGCACAGTTGTACTCTTGCACACATGGGGGCACCGTGAGTTGGAGTCGACTAGATGGCAGCTGGCTGGTTGGTTAGAAGATGGGATAGGAGCCTCTGAAAGGGATTGGAAATGGTTCTTGTGCCCAAGGTGCTGCAGAAGAAAGACCTGGTGATCCACTCCCTAGAAATCAGTCTTTCAACACACCCTACAGAGCACAGTTCTGCTCCAACCCACACGGGATCGCCGTGAGCCTAACTCAATGCCGCAGTGACTATAGACAGGTTTAGCAAGGTTCCTGTGCTGAAGGGCATGTGCTGGCTGGTTTAATTAACCAGAAACAAGGGGGCTGAGACGATGCACATTGTCATTTGTCTATTCTGGGATCATGAGTCTGACCTGAACTCAATGTTGTTGTTGTTGTTGTTAGGTGCCATTGAGTCAGTACGGACTCATAGCAATCTTATGCACAGCAGAACAAAACACTGCCCGATCCTGGGCCAACCTCACTATTGTTGCCACGCTTGAGTCCATCCATGCTGCCACTTGGCCAATCCATCTCGTTGAGAGTCTTCCTCTTTTCCTCTGACCCTCCACCTTACCAAACATGATATCCTTCTCCAGTGACTGGTCCCTCCTGACAATATGTCCAAAGTATGAGAAACGAAGTCTGGCAATCCTAGCTCCTTTTGGCAGCCCATGACACTTTCAATATTCTCCTCCAACACCATAACCCAAAAGCTTCAACTCTTCTGCGGTTTTCCTTATTCACTGTCCAGCTTTCGCATGCATATGAGGTTATTGAAAATACCATGGCTTGGGTCAAGCTGACATCTTTGCTCTTCAACACTTTAATGAGGTCTTGTGAAGCAGATGTTCCTAAATAGGCTGAGCTCAACAGATAAAGTCAAGATGTTGGCAGAGCCCTAGGAATGCTGCGGAGAAGCCATTGGGATGTGTCTTAAGCTGGGTTCACTAGAGAAGTCAGTGAAATTTCTATGTGTGTATATGTTCTTGCTGTGGTTAAGTGCTGTCGAGTCAGTTCTGACCGATAGCGACCTTGTACAGGGTTTCCAAGGAGTGGCTGATGCACTTGAATCACTGACCTTGTGGTTCAAGGCGACTTTGCAGTCCTGTGCATTAACCCATGGCGCCACGCCAGGACTCCACGTTAATGCATAGAAAGAGATTAACATCAAGGAAATAACTCAGTTACAAAAGTGGTAAAGTCCTAAGTCCATGGGTCAAAAGACAAGCTCACTTGGCTGCAGGAGCCAAGGACCTCAAGATCAGTGGGTGAGATGGCAGGCAGGTCAGGCAGGTAATAGAGAAGGCCCCTGGTTCAAGTCCAATGAACCAGAGGTCAGAGGATGAGCAACATGCAAGATCTAGAACCAGCAAGACAGCAAGACTTGCCTGATTTTCCAAGATATTGGAAACTCCCTTTCAATTGATGAGCTCTTCAAAGTAGAACACATCATAGAGACTTAGAAAGTCTTAACTGCCACATGACTGAGAATTCTGGCACGGTTATGCTGACAGAAAAACCATCACAGTCAGTTAATCAAAACTACGCTCTCAAGCCCACCAGCCCCTGCCTAGGAGACAAATGAGGCAGTCAGCTTCCCTAAAGATTTGTAGTGTCGGAAAACCTAAAGCACTGCTTTCTCTTACGGGGTCTCTAAGCATCAGAATCTGCTCTTCAGCACTGAGTTAAAGGGACTACATACCTTCTGGAAGATCCAGGAGAAAATCCATCTATACTTGTCACTTCCAGCTTCTTGAGAACAACTCCTTCTACATCCAACTTCTATCCATCATCATAATACATCTCTATCACTCCTTGTCTGACTCTGAGCCTTCCTCTTCTTATAAGTACCCCTTGTAGTGACAATGAAAGGCCACTAGGGGGTGCAAACAGTCTGTACTCAACTGCTAACCTAAAGGCTGACGGTTCAAACCAAGCCAGTCATACTGCAGAAGAAAGCCCTGCTGATTCACTTCCAAAAAATCCAGCCACTGATAACCGTATGGGACACAGTTCTACTCTGACACACACAGGACACCATGAGTGGGATCTACTTATGAAAAATCATCCACTGAGAACCCTGT